TTAAATCATATATACTACAATATATATAACACTGGGGTATATTGTAAGTATAATATGGGCCAATGTAATTAAATCATATATACTACAATAGATTACACTGGGGTATATTGTAAGTGTAATAAGGGCCAAGGTATTTAAATCATATATACTACAATAGACGACACTTGGATATATTGTAAGTGTAATAAGGGCCAAGGTATTTAAATCATATATACTACAATATATATAACACTGGGGTATATTGTAAGTGTAATAAGGGCCAAGGTATTTAAATCATATATACTACAATATATATAACACTGGGGTATATTGTAAGTGTAATAAGGGCCAAGGTATTTAAATTATATATACTACAATATATATAACACTGGGGTATATTGTAAGTGTAATAAGGGCCAAGGTATTTAAATCATATATACTACAATATACGACACTTGGGTATATTGTAAGTGTAATAAGGGCCAAGGTATTTAAATCATATATACTATAATGGATGACTGTGGGGTATATTGTAAGTGTAATGAGGGCCAAAGTATTTAAATCATATATACTACAATAGACGACACTTGGGTATATTGTAAGTGTAATAATGGCCAAGGTATTTAAATCATATATACTACAACGGATGACTGTGGGGTATATTGTAAGTGTAATGAGGGCCAAAGTATTTAAATCATATATACTACAATATATATAACACTGGGGTATATTGTAAGTGTAATAAGGGCCAAGGTATTTAAATTATATATACTACAATATATATAACACTGGGGTATATTGTAAGTGTAATAAGGGCCATGGTAATTAAATCGTTTATACTACAATATATGACACCGGGGTATATTGTAAGTGTAATAAGAGCCAAGGTAATTAAAACATATATACTACAATATATGACACTGGGGTATATTGTGATAACCATTGTTCAATTCAGTAATATTTATTTAATACCATAGACTATACTCTAATTTCGTGAACTATTATGTAACATTTGTTGTAATTATTCTGTTTTGACATCCTTTTTCAGGGTTCTTGTCAACGAAATACAAGAAATGAAAGCGAGTGGATAATGTTATTGATTCAATCAGACCACGCCACGGTGGCAGGCTTCTTTGCTCACCTGTTTATGTGAATGTTGCTGCTGCTGCCCTGGTCGATGAGGGCGTCGTGCGCACTGACTTTTGACAATTGTGTTGAAGAACAGTGTGCTCTGACGCAAGCTACAGATTGCATACTTATATTTACAGATTACTAAAATAGTAATTATTGTCGGGCTTCCACAGAATTGACTGAACTGATAATAACATTTCTCCAATTTTTCTGAGTTCACATGCATTGTGTTGCTTTATCAAAAATGGTTCATCCAGAAAAAACAATATGAACTTTGACCCCTGTTCACAATCTCCCAGGCAGAGTTCTATTCCACGAATATATCTCTGCCACCACGCGATCTTATGCTTGTCGTTGATTGGTCGATGCGTCACAGCGGTATTACTTTCAAAGACGCCCAACAAAACATTGCCATGCAAGTGTTCGATTTTCGAACCCGACGAATGTGTACGCGTTGTTTACAGATTTTGGCTGTTTTCAAAGTTAGAAGCTTCTTTTTTTCTTTCTGTAGCACAAACGGTGTGACAGTGGGACGATTTAGTCGTTAATACTACGAAGTGCTTTCGTTTGTTCGTATTTCTTCGACAGGACGGTCAATTTGATTAACCGAGTAACAACTTAGTAACCGTTATTCCGCGATGAAATTATTTTCTTTTGTAAATTATATAACTAATTCACTGTTTTCAGTATGTTTACGAAAAAATCATTATCAGAGATCGATAACATATTTTAAAACTTGTTTACTAGGATGAAGAAATCAACACGAGATCCCTCTAATAACAAAAATACTCAAATAATACGCGTAGTAAAAGTCTTGTGGTGTTTCACCACAAAATGGCGGTGTGTGGTGGCAGAGATACTTTCGGTGATCTAACCGCAAGGAACTCTGGGAAGGAGAATG